ATATACATATTCATATATATATACATATATATATATATATATATATATATATATATACATATATATAAATATATACATATATAAATATATATATACATTTTTAGATGTTATTTATACCTAATCTCTTAAAGGATCATTTACATGAAAATCAACTCTGATATTAAATGTGAGTTTGAACATGTCTGAAAGATTACTCTTAATATTATTTTTGTCCAGTTTTACCTTCTGATAGCTCCTCTGTCATCTCCTCTGTTTCTGTTCTGTCATTCTCCATCTTTAGGTAGTCCTGCTCGGTCCGGTCCAGTTTGGTCCACACAGTTCTGAAGTGCCTATCGGTCCGCTCCCCTAGCTGTGTTTGTCTCCTCCAAAGAAGTTTATCGTTGGCTGTGATCACAGTTTCTCTCAACCAAAGCATGTGAGTCCTGTGATTCCTCTTTGGTACAAAAAGCTCCTTGTCTTCGGAGGAGTGGAGGGATGAAGGGTAAAAGATCAGGAGTGGAGAGGGAGACGTTTGTTCGTCTGACGGGAACATACTGCAGCTATTAGATTAAAGGAGGTGTGGCTGCTCGTTAATAAGGACAACTATGCAGACATTTAAAAAGGACAGCGAGAGCAGTGGTCTTGTAAAGTTAAAAGCTGGGTGTAGCTGCAGAGTCAGTGAGCATGTGTTGATGGAACTAACACATACAGTTGTGTCAACTTCAAGTGCATTGTTGTTTTTTTTCCCCTTATTTATTGCATTATTAAGGCTTTAAGAGCACAATATGACAGAATTAGAAATATTTCAGCCTGACTGCAATGATTTTATAGCAGTTTAGCAGCTCCACAAGAAAATCTCAGTACGACACCAACTTCACCCTGCAATCAGCTGACAAAGTTAAAAAAAAAATGTTTTCAGTCATTTGTTTGGATTTCAAAACTGTACAATTACAGAAAAGTTTTAATCACCCAGCTGAATGGATAATGGTGACAAAAGTGAAATCTCTCGCAGACCACTGACAGCTTTCAGTGACAACAAAGCCATGAAGACAAACGGCTCAGCTGCTCCTCGAACCAGCAGCAAACCTGAGTTTGAAGGTTGCAGAATTCTCACACGTCATCTGATGCTACATGTGAGTTAGTAAAAAGAGACTGTGCTGTTCATGACCCTCTGTACAAAAACAAAATGAAACTTGTCTTTTTCACCAGTAATTGAGTTCAGAGAAAAATACCATCGGAGTGATTTGCCTTTGGGACTGGAAAATCACTTCAGCTTCAGTTGAACAAGATTTAAAGTTTAAAGTTCAGCTCTCGTCAGCCTCCTGGTTTAATTTATGTAAAACTCTTATAAATGCATTATTAGACAAATTAAATGTACAGTAAGAAGACTAGAAGATACACGTTTGAGCTCTTACACAGCAGGGTTTAGTCAGGGCTATTCAACACAACTGCTCAGGGGGACACAGTTTCTGACAGCCAGCAGCTCAGGGGTTGGACATCCAGCGATTAAAGTTATTATGTAAAAAAAAAAAGTGTTACAATGTTACCTTTCAAATTTGTTTTATTGCATTGATTCATAAATGCAATAAACAGAACCCAGAACCCCCCAAAAATAAAAATTGATGAAGTCATTGGTGGGCCGGATTGAAGTCGCCCGGGGGCCGCCAGTTGAATAACCCTGGTTTAGTGCATCTTATGACCCATGACGTTACAGTGCAGTTAGTTTTAGATCATCAATTCTTTGAAAATAAAATTCTTGGATCTGGCTCTTGCAGACTCGGAGAGACCAATCCCGCGGCTACTTTGTTTTTAACTACTTTTATATTTTGTAAGCTTATTTGTTTTAACAGTCTGAGGAGAGGTGACAGTGTGGGAGGTTTGCTTTATTTGGCAGAAGGGTTATCTAAGTCTTATTATCTGTGTGGTAACAGGAGAAGTGGCATATTTTTACAGGGGTTTGCTTTGAACAACCTTGTGTGGGATGTCTTGGTAACTATGGGTTTTAATTGCAGGAACCCTCCTAAACTTATTGTATTTAATTGACATTTGTTTTCTCAGGTCTTTTATTTAAAGGTCTCATCCTGCAGTAAAATCAAGTCTAGTACAGAATTATCTGGTAAAATAATTAGCCAATTAAAGGCCTTGCATTCCTCACCCGCTGCCTTTCCTGCCACAGTTTCACACTCATGTTGAAAAATGACTAATCGTTTTGATCAAATCTCAAAAATGACTTGTCTTCTCAAAAATGTGGTTAATGAGATATATTGCCAACAAATAGAGTTCACTCCAAATAGTTTAGTTTTTTTGGGGTTTTTTTTGAAGAAGCTTTTGTGTGATCTGTTGTTCACTTTATGTTTTTGGGATCAGTCTCACCTGCAGCACCAAATAAGGTGAATAATTTGAACGACAGCTGTCCTGGCAAAGTTTCAGAGTAAAATAACTCAGAATCATTAACTCAGTTACACATAAGACGGTTGAATCCAGTAATTCAGAAGCTGCTGATGATTATCACGTTTGCTTTGTAAACAGCAATTGACCCAGAGTACAGACTGAGACCGAGATGGAAGCAGAATAAAAAAGTATTTACAAAGAGGACACAGGAGGGAGCTGTCGGAGGAGATCAACGGAGTAGTACTTCTGAACGGTTATTATGAATCTATCGTTCATGTTTGCAGGTCGGAGGGAGAGGACTGGGGGATTCCAATACAATGAAGTAGATTAAAGGTGACCATGAGAGAAGAGGAGGGAAGAGAGTGGCAGGGCGAACCAGTTTCTCTCATCAGGAGGAGAAGATCTTCATTTTGGGGGATTTCAATCAGCACATTGATGTTTCTTGTAGCACGCCTGCTGATCTTATCTCCATACAGAGTTATTTAACTCTGCTCAGCGTGTATAAAAGCTGGCAGCACGGTGGCACAACTGGTAGAGCTGCTGCCGCTCAGCGAGAAGGCTGCTGGTTCAAATCCCGGTCCAGGGGCCTTTCTAGGTGGAGTTTGCATGTTCTCTCCATGCATGCGTGGGTTTTCTCCGAGTACTCCAGTTTCCTCCAAAAACATGCATGTTAGACTGATTGGTAACTCTAAATTGTCCCTGGGTGTGAGTGAGAGAGTGAATGGTTGTTTGTCTCTATATGTCCCTGTGATGGACACCTGTCCAGGATGTACTCCGCCCCTCGCACAGTGATTGATGGACATGGACACCAGTGACCCCTGTGACCCCAAATGGAAGACGCGGGTAAAGATAATGGATGGATGTATAAAAGCCTTGTTTTCGCCTAAGGCCTTGATGTGGAGGATATATTTTTTAACTGATCACATTTGTATAGTGTATATATTTTAATGTGATTTTTTTTTGCCCAACATTATCTTTATTGGGTTTTCACACACACAAAAAGGCTTCCTATAAATACAGAAATAAGCGTGCTCTCGCATCAAAATAAAGATCAAGGGCAACTAAATTATTGTCCAACATTCAACTTGTCTTTCCTTGCAAGTCAGGTATCTATGAAATATCGTAGAGCATCACTTAGTTGAACATATAGTGTATAAAACAAGAAAGAAAAGAGAAAAGAAAAAAATAAAAGATATAAAGGGCAACAATCAAAATAACGAAGGTTTCTCTATTTTTCAAGGGTTAGTCCCGGTTATTTCATTATGCATGGTTTAAAAAAATACAAACTCAAATATACAAATCACAGAATAAGGAAACCAAGTATCCAAGGAATGGAGATTATTTTAGGATACTGCAGAAGATCACTGGTACTACACCTCATCTGTCCCACTCCCCCCATCCACACTCTCTATATATTCCATAAAAGGACCCCAAATGTTTTGAAATGGTGATACTTTCCCTTGAATAATGTAAGTAATCTTTTCCATAAGTAAAGCAGTGGACATTTCATTAATCCAGTTAATGAATTTTAGTTTACTGGAGTGCTATGACTTTTGTTGCAAGTAGTAAACATAAATCCATTGCAGTGATCGTTTTTCTGCACATATGATGTCTATCAGGATATAAACCTAGAATGAACAGTTTAGGGTCAAGATCTAATTTTATACCTAGTATAGTCTCTAAAGATTGTTTAATCTCTCTCCAGAATTGTTGAACTTTATTGTATTTCCAGACACAATGGAAGAACATCCCCTTCTCCACATCTGACACACAAGTCTGGGATGGCACCATTTTACTTATTAAGCTTTTCTGGCATCATATATGTCCTCATTAGCCAATTGTATTGCAGTACTTTGAGGCGTGTATTAGTTTGTGTTTGTGCTTCAGCACACGCCTGTTACCAGTCCTCGGAGGGCAAGTTCTCCTGTAAATCTTCCCTCCAGGTGTTAATTTTTCATAAAGAAGACTCAGAGGATCCTGAGTTTATATAGTTAGTCTATATGGTTTGGAGGTCGTTCCTTTTCTAAAACAGTCATTCTTCATTTCAGTTTCCAAAATGGACATCAGGGGAATTGACACACTGATTTTGAAATTATCTAATAAATTTTTTCACATATAGATATTTAAAATAATGTTTACGTGGAATATCATACCTGGCAATCAGCTCTTCAAATGACATTAAATACCCGCCCTCTGATCTCACAAGATCTCCTATTGTCTTTAAACCTTTTTCAGCCCATTTCCTAAAACCAGGGTCTGCCCTGCCTGGAGGAAAAAAATGGTTGCCATATATCAGGCTGAAGCGTGAAAAAGAGGTAGGTTTACCTTGATACTTCTTAACCTGATTTAATGTGATATTTAATTCTGATCCAGTTCCTCCTAGACCACAGATCCAAAGACGGATTGTAAAAGAGATCCTCTAGCTTTCTCGTCTTTTTTATTCTGCCTCTTTAGATTTCAATGTGATGAATGTGGACTCATTTGTTTCATCTTTAAATACACATTGTAACAAGATTTTGGAAAAATTGCACCTATACAGAACTCTGTGTAGTGCACAGTCTGCCCCGGGATGAAAAAGGAACTTCTTAACAAGAGGAGAGTATGTCGTAAGGCTGAATGACAGTGGAAAAGTACTAAGCTTGAGGTTCATAGACTTTACCTTAAAGAATTGATTAGCTCGTTGAATGAGTTGCTAAAGAATGACAGAACTAATTATTTTGCAAACCTTACTGCATCAAAAGGAAAAAAATCCTAAAATATTGTTTTGACACGGTTAAGAACATTGTTTCACCAACTTTTGCCTCTACAAGTGCTTTTACAAATGTAGAAGGCGATTTGTTTTTCAATTATTTTACAGACAAAGTTGTCTCCCTCACATCCCATTCTGCTTGGTTTCTCCCCTTGTGATACACGGTCCCTTTTCACTCCAGTGTCACTTCAGGACATCACAGCACTGTTGGGTAAAATAAAACTATCTGCTAGCCTCATTTGATGTCCTTCCGACATATTTTGTCATGGATGTTTGAGACTGTATTGGCTCCAATGTTGTCAAACCGAATCTTTTGTCTTTGTTCTGTGCCCTGCTTCTTTAAACACACTGTTTTCTTATTGCTAAAATATAAATACATTTAAAAAAAAATCCTCATTTGGATTCTTCTCTTTCTGCTACAGACCTATCTCTAAATGACCATTTTTGTCAGAGATTCTTGAGAAGGCTATAACAGAATAACTGATCTGCTTTTTGGAGGAAAAAGACATAATGGACACTTTCAGTCTGGTTTTTGCTAATTTCACTCCACAGAGACGGCATTATTAAACGTTTCAGTTGACTTGTTGATGGCAGCCGACTCTGGAAGTTTCACTGTACTGGTTTTATTGGACTTATCTTCAGTCTTCAACACTGTGAATTATATTGTACTAATTACCCAGTAATAGACTGAGAGACTTCACCAAAAAAATTAAATTAAATGTTAAAACAGGTCAGGACTGAGAGGCTTGTTTGGCATTTCTGCCACTGTGCTAAATTAGTTAACTTCTTATTTATCTGAAAGGTATTTTACTGTTTTTATGAACCAGGCCAACTTTGATACAGCACCATGTGTTGTGGGGTACCTCAAGGTTCAGTTTTCGGCCACATCCTTTTTTTTAATTGTATTTATATCCTTTAAGGAATATTCTTAAATGTGTTATATGAATGTGTTATATAATTTGTATGCTGATGACATATAAATTGTACTGTTCTTTTCAAATTTCATAGCTCTATAAACTGTTGGAAATCAAGCTATAGCTTTACAACAACTCTCTGCTACAAACAAGACTGAATCTTTTATTACCGCTGATGGAAAAAAAAAAATCCTTTAGTCAGGCAGCATGTTGCTTTTTAAACTCTTTCTGCGAAATGTAATCTTAGAAATGTGGGTGTCGTCTTTGACAGTTCATTGTCTTTCCACAATCTTTGTAAACTCTAGTTCTTAACTGTTTCGATCATTTAAGAAACATTCCCATGCTGAGGTGTCTCAGACTGAACTAGAGAGTATTATCCATGGTTTTATATTCACCTGTCTGGATTATTGTAACAATCTTTTTAATGGTTTAAACAAAAACTCTTTGATTTGTTTTGTTTCCAGTCTGTGCAGAATGCTACAGCAAGACTAACCAACAGAAGGGCTCTTATGACTCCTATTGTGGCCTCTCCGCACTGACTCCCTGTGTATCTGAGTAGAGCTGTGATTTTTGGCCCTAGTCCCTGCCCGGTCCGACCCGAAATTCAGGCCGGGTCAGGCCAAAATTATGTGCTTGATGGGCGGGCTGGGCTCGGGTTTTTGATACGGTTTTAATTGCGCATGCGGCCCCACCCACCCTTTGCTCTTATCACACATCTGAGAATTTACAATTGACCCACAACAAGCGATGTAATGGAGCTGGAAAGTATTAAACAAAAGCTAAAAACAGGAGAACCCACTCTACAAAGCACGCACAGTGAAACCTGTTGATGTGTGTCAGGTGCACGCTCAGGTCCGACTGTCGGTTGAAAGAGGTATAAAAAAAAAGTTGCGTTAAGCTTCAGATGGACAACCGGGTCATCGGTCGCGCGCGCAAGGAGTTGAGGATTTGGAGCCACGAGAAGCACAACAAGATTGAATTTAGTATTTTCTTGTTAACAAGGCCACACAAAAGCCAGACCCAGTATCAATGTGGGACAATGTTCCAGCAAGATCTAGTTGGTCCAGGCAGCCTAAAGTACAGAGGAACCTCATCAGCAGACTGGAAACAGCTGGTGGTAAATGGCTCTTTTCTACCACTCAGGAGCTGAGGAAAGATGTTAGTAGATGGAAAAAACTGAATCCCCACAATGATTTTAGTGCAGTTACTGATCAGTATAATATCCCATAAATTAAAGAGTTTAGATGTTTGATTTTCAGTCAGGTTTGAGGCTCATTAAAGCATCTACTATAACTATAAAAATGCTCTTAATTGCTTTTGTCCTATAATGTCATGCTCGTCTTTAAAGTCGGCCCAGTTTTATTTGTGTTCTGTGGTTCTGTCCTGACTTTTCTATTGTCTACTGGTCTGGGACAAACAACTACAGACCTAAGGCCAGAGAGATACAAGCTCTGAAATTTGACGATCAATTGTGCTGCAGTAAATTACAGAAAATAAGTATAATCTGTCATGGGGTTTTTTTTGTTTGTTTTTGTGTAAGTGTGTGTGTGTGTGCACATTTTCATTATTTATATGAATCTTTAAATCGGTCTGTGACCTTGTTGTAGATGTAGTTGTATGTATGGGAACTACTGTACATTAAGCAGAGCTGTCAACAGAGACTGTAAACCAGCAAGGTGCAAAACTTAATTTGAACAATCTTTTTGTCTTTGAGAAGTCCCCATATTTTGGGATTGTTTGCAAACAAAATTATAACACTTTATACAACATTCTGGGTAAAAGCTTTCTTCACATCCATGTTTTCCTATATTTTTTTGTAGTTGTGTGTTGATTTCAGGTTTGTTGTATCCAATACTGTAACTTCGTTTCACTGTTTGTTCTGAAAGTGAAGCTTTTTTTATTAGTAGTTTTACAAGTTTATCGTTCTTAAAAGTCTAACCAGGGACTGCGTCTGCGAACAGTCATAGCTAGAAGTCCATCTACACCATTCAATTCAGTTTCTTGCTCACTGTTCCCTGATCAAATAAATACACACTTTAATCATCCATCCATTCTTTATCTTTTATCTGCGTCTTCCTTTTTGGGTCACGGGGGTCACTAGAGCCTATATGCAGCAGTCACTGTGCGAGAGGTGGGGGACACCTTGGACAGGTTGCAAGTCCATCACAGGGACACATGGAGACAAATGAGACAAACAACCATTCACGCTCTCACTCACACCTAGGGGCAATTTAGAGTTACCAATCAGCCTAATCCAGGTGTGTATGTCCCAGGAGGTTCACCAGCTGGGATTTGATTAATTCACTCAAACTTTATTTATACAGGTTAGTCTCATTTAGCCTCAAAGACTCATTTACAAGAGAGATCTGATTTTGATAAAGAATGAACAACAGCAGACAATCTTAAAACAAAGCATACAAATTGAAAAAAATGAATAGAAGACAATTATATATATAAAAAACCGAAACAAAAACAGCTACATTGTAAAGAGATGTAAAAAACTAAAAACAAGAACATGCTTGTTTTTAGTTTCATGTTTTTGCCATGAACTTAGTAGATGTTTGAATTCACTTAGAGCCACTTTAATCCTGCGATTTTCTCGCTGAGAGGCAACAGATCTACAAACTACCAACTTCACATCCATTCTACCAACTTTAATCAGATTTTATTTTTTATGTGATTATTATTATATTTATAGGTTGTATATGTGGGGCAGCACGGTGGCGCAACTGGTAGAGCTGCTGCCTCTCAGCGAGCAGGTCCTTGGTCCAAACCCTGGTCCAGGGGCCTTTCTGGGTGGAGTTTGCATGTTCTCTCCGTGCATGTGTGGGTTTTCTCCGGGTTCTCTGGTTTCCTCCCACAGACCAAAAACATGCATGTTAGGCTGATTGGTAACTCTAAATTGTCCCTAGGTGTGAGTGAGAGAGTGAATGGTTGTTTGTCTCGTTTGTCTCTATGTGTCCCTGTGATGGACTTGCGACCCGTCCAGGGTGTACCCCGCCCCTCGCACAGTGATTGCTGGACATGGGCACGGCGATCCCCGTGACCCAAAATGGAAGAAGCGGGTAAAGAAAATGGATGGATGTTCTCTTTTAGTATTTTTACTGAAATAATTTCATGGTGGAAATGTTTTCTCTGGCCAAGTGTGTTATAAAACAACTGATTACAGTTTAATAGGTAACCTATTTTAGATAATTTACTAAACTTAGAATAATCAGTCTTATCATGTTTATTTTCCTTCAGGTTTTTAAATCACCTTCTGCAGGTCAGCTGTTTACTACCTGAAGTCCAAACCCAGGGCAAAATCGCACCAGACAAGTACATCCGGTCCGCTGACACTGATCACGTGACTTAGCTTCTCTCGCGCTCAGCTGACTCGGCTTTTTTTTTTTTTTAACCCCTCGGTGATGCGTCTGGCCGTTGTTGTGTTTGTGAGTCAGTAACCTCTTTGTGAAAACTTTCAGCCGGCTGAATGGAGCGGTACTCGGACGCGGAGAAGGACGAGCAGCAGAAGCCGCTGCTCCACCGAGAACACGAAGACAAAGTCCTGAAAGGTGAGTCAAGTTCAGCCTTCTGCACCGGCTAACAGGCTAACATATGCTGCTCTGCGTATACAGGAAGAAAGAAGGCGCCATACGTCTCACTTCTGTTTCGTTTATATTCGTTTTCTTGAGCAAATAATGATTCATCTGCTTCATTCTGACTAAACATGAAACCGTCAAGCGTCGCCATTATTATTAATGTATAGAGCTAATTCTCCACACTTGTCTTGTGGTTCCCTTATAATCTGTGTGAGAACCTTTAATTTACCTGAATCTATGAGGTCATTGTTTTACATACACCTGCAGGGAACAGCCATGCACGCTCTCGTGCACAAGTCGCAGTTTGGCAGTGTTTTCACAGTTCGTGTCGTTTTCTGACTTGTGTTCATGAAATGTACATGGTCTATAATGGATGACCCATTGTGTGCAAGATCAGCACTGAAACATGCACTTGTATTCTAGTGGTTTGTGTAAAAGCTTGACATTATTCTAGAGTTGTTTAATGATCTACAGGTGCATCTAAAAAAAAAATTAGAATTGTGAAAAAGTTATTTTTTTTCAGTCATTTCAAAAAGTAAAACATATTGATTCATTACACATAGAGTGAACTATTTCAAGCCTTTATTTCTTGTGATTTTGATGATTATGGCCTAAAATACAAAACTTCACAATATTCTATTTTGTTAGATGCACTTGTATCTTTGCCACTCTGTGATGCAAACTTTTTCTACAATCATGTGATGTCCTTTGTGCCTTTTTATTATTATTATTTTTTTTTTTTTTATCATATTTACTGTTCAGTAGGTATTTCGTATCAATTCAGTGCAGAAATTATTTTTTCTTCTTATAGGAGAACACAACTGTTATCATAGTGCACTGTTTCACTGTCACAAGTCTGGTTTTGCAACATGTATTTTAACATCAAAATAAAGCTCCACGTAGGGAAATCCATTATATTTCACTCAGATGTCATTTAATTGGTTTATTTTGTCATCCTGCAGCCCCAGTGTGCTGTTCCTCACGTTACAGCCTTGCGCTGCTCTCCAGCTATGCCTTCTTCGTGGCCTACTCTTTGAGGGTGAACCTTAGCGTGGCCATGGTGGACATGCTCAACAGCACCCATCAGTCCAGCGACAACCACAGCGGCACAGTGTGCCCCGCTCACGGCAACCCTCCACAGCCCAAACACAACCGCACGGTGAGCAATAATGTAACAGCTGAAGGGGATGCAACAAATTAAAACTTTCTTTTAGTGATTTAAGGAACTCTCATTTTATGTAGCAGCATTGTAGAAATGGATAGTAAGGAGGCAACAGCTGGGAGTGTAACCCCAGTTATCATGTTGTTATAGCAGTTTACTGAGTGGCCCATCAAAATGTTTCACTGACAGGATTTTAAGAACTTGTGTTGTACCAGAACACTCCTCTTAGGCCTCACTTCAAAGCTAAAACTAACTTTACAGCTTTGTGTTCTGTATTTGATTCTTGTGCATGGAATTCATTCATTCAACCTTTATTTAAACAGATAAGTCACATTGAGCCTCAAAGACTCATTTACAAGTGAGGTCTGTTTGGACAGACAATAAAAGTGGTCAACTGGACACATGTACGAATTGGAGGCGAAAAAATTCCTATCAGACTTTTTTTTTCTGTCTGAGAAGAAAAAACTCTGATATTAAAAAACACCTCGCACAAACAAGCACATAGTAACGTAGACATTCTGCAGAGGGGGACGACGAGAGCGGTGAGCAATGACCATAGACGCTCTCGAGGGCACTGTAAGAGTTCTGATAAAGATGTAATAATCAGTCGATGTCCTCCGGTGAGATCCGTAAACATTCTCGAGGGATGTCGAGGAATGGCCAAGAATAACAACGATGAGAATCCAAGAGTCCTGAAATGATGACACAAAGTTTATTCAGCTGGTTTCATCTGGTTATCAGTTGGAAATTCCTCAAGGAGGGGTTGGTGAGCGTCAGATCACATGTTCTTCAGGCGAATTCAGATAAAATGGCCTTCAAGGCCAGCCAAGGAAGCCCAATTCAGATAAACACACAGTTGTTTTGGGGACAGGCAGAACTTAATGACATCTACCTTGAGACTGTGTTGGTCCACTCAGGTCCGAAATGTCCAAATTACATGGCCACACTGATGGAACATGACTGAGTAAAATCCCCAAGATCTGATCCATTCTGCCCAAAGCATTTGAGTCCAGGTACTCGACACAAACCAAGCCATCGTAAAGGCAAGCAGCGTGATCGGGTCGAAATTTGCTGTCGACAAATTCCTTGACTGTAGATGAAACCAGCAACCAGCCGAATCAAAAAAGCAGGAACCAATTATCGTAAATCCAATTAAATGTGTCCTTAAAATCCACAAATGGCTGCAGAGATGGACACATCATCAAGTCTTCCAGTCAATGAGATATCCAGCTGCGTGCGTGCCAACAGGGCAAATCGGCTCGCCTAAAGCCTGTCTTCTCTTCGAAGAAATGTTGTAAATTGAGTTGAGGGACCAACTGATCAAAACAAGTCCATAATTATGGTGCGGAAGATATTAAGAGAGGCTCAGAAGCAGTTTCACAGACAGAGCAGCAAAGCAGAGAGGGAGGGGAAGGGAAATGCGTCCGATCTCAGCAAGAGCAAGTGGTGAATAAAGTCTAAATGAGTTAAAACAGTGTATATAAAGTCCTAACATTTATATTTTACGGTCAGAAGTTTGCTGTCTTAACTCCTTTCATCCCTTCGTTTCACAGGCCAGTGTGTACAACTGGGACTCTGAGACCCAGGGCTGGATCCTGGGCTCCTTTTTCTACGGCTACATCCTGACACAGATACCTGGAGGATACCTGGCTGGCCGCTTTGGACCCAAATGGCTGCTGGGCTTTGGAATTCTGGGAACTATAGTTTTTACACTACTTACCCCTGTGGCGGCTGATCTGGGTGCAAGCTATCTCATTGCTGTGAGAGTTCTGGAGGGGATTGGGGAGGTATGAGACAATTGACCGTGGTACTCAAATGTCCCATAAGGCAGAAAAACGACTGCAGATGGTTTGCATAAGTAGATAACTTATTCTTCTTAATGTTCTTCTGTTGTTTGTGTTCAGGGTGTCACATTTCCTGCAATGTACACCATGTGGGCGGCGTGGGCCCCACCGCTGGAGAGGAGCCGACTGCTCACCATTACATATATTGGTAAGTCAACACAAAATGAGCACTAGGCTGCAAAACCTGATTGTTTTGAAAATGAATATGTAATATAGTTATCTCCTGAAGATTGCTATTGATAGAAAACCTACACAAACCAGAAATCTTATTGATAAGATATTTAATGTAGCAAAATTCAAACTATGCAGTATGATGTTTTGGGATGTTGAGGAGTGCATGTGCTTCTGAAGCATGGAATAAAAAGTACATCTGTGATGGGCTTTTCCTTTTTCTACAACATATTGTAGAAGCTGGTGGAGGGTTGAGGTTACAGTTCTTAAAACAACAGAGATTGAAGTTGAGGATCAGTTTAAGACTCATCAGGATGCACAAACATGGACGTATTTTCACTGTTGTTCCACAACGTAACCAGCAGGCTTCCTGTGTAAGCCCACTGCACTGTGCCTCCGGATGGACAACATTTCAATCCACTGGCATGTTGTTTTCTTCAATACTGTTAAAATTCATTTCATTGTCTCCACAAAGAACAGCGGTTTATGAAAATATAAAGAATCCTGACTAAAATTACAAACATTTCCTTATTGCTAAGCCCAGTTAGAAAGTACAACTGTATATGTAAATATAATGTATAATGCTGCAAGTGATGGAGTCTTTGGTAAGGCGTTTCGATGTCTGAGTTTTTCTACGATTTGTTTTTAATCCCACTCAAAATTAATTCCCATTAGCTTGGAATTTGACCTCATCATCCTATCTCAAATGGCTTTTATCATCATCACAACTTAAACTTGGTAAATACTGATACTGAAAAAAGCTTAGCTCTGAGTAACAAATCAATTATTTAATTTCACTTCAACCTGACCATCAATAAAAATATTTCCACTTCATTAGTCTTGAACTGCATTATTCTGTGCTCATTATTTTTTTAATCGTCTTTCTCTTCATCCCAGGAGCTCAGATGGGGACAGTCATAGCTCTGCCTTTGTCTGGTGAAATCTGCTTCTACCTGGACTGGCCTTATGTCTTCTACTTATTTGGTAATACACAGTTTCAATAGTTTAAGAAAAAAAGTCTCCTGATTGGTTTAATTGAGTTGTGGAGCCAATAATCTTATATGCATGTATGTCTGTGTACAGTACATCAAACTTATTAAGGTGCTTTTTTGTGACTGTCATTGTGTAAGTTTCTTATTTCTAAGCAAAGTGATGCTTTGATATAGAAGGTGCTACAATTGAGTCATAGAATAAATATATTAAAGCAAACTAAACATAAATTACATGTGATGCAGAATGATAATCAGTGAGTCAGTTTGTGTCATTTGTTAGTCAACACATTTAACACATTCTGCTGTTTCTTGAGTCTGTTCACCTTTGCTCTGTGGAAACAATGACTTCGCAGGCTGAGGAGGAAAGCATACACATGAGTCACTAGTTCTACATTATTAACTTTTCTCTGACTTAAACTTTGCCCCAACTCTGAACAGCGTGTTTGGAGCATCATAACAGAAAAAAAAAAGGTGTAAATGTTTTATGGTTTCAACATTTGAGTTTATGGTAAAACAGAGGTTTGTTTGTTTGCCCAGGTGCCGTTGGTTTGGTGTGGTTCATCTTGTGGGCTTTTCTCGTCTTTGACAGTCCAAACACTCATCCACGGATATCAGAGCAGGAGAGACTCTACATCACTAACTCACTCAAACATGAGGTAGCCAAGACGAGACGGGGTTTATGTTTTTAGTTTGACTCGTCTGCAGTGTGCTGCAGGCACATATTGCATCAGAAGTGCTTGCAGGCTTTTTTGACCACTAATTATGACTTTGGGATATCATCAGTGTTACAAAATCTTAGTTTCTTATCTGTTGTTCTATTGTCTGATGACAAAAACAATGAATCTGCAGTTAACTGCTCTGAACAATGCCATGGGAAATGTACTGATGGAGTCACCGCAGCTGATAATTTAACAGCAGCATTTGAAAGCAGTGTGCTTTCAGTAAGCATATGTCGAAACATAATTGTATAAACAATTTTTTTTGTTTACAGTACTTTTTTTGTATTGCTCATATCAAATATAAGTAGGACAGTGTGGTGTTAGATCTCTTGCATGTTCACCTTTATTCCTCATAATTGTACTGGTACACCTTTTTACTCATGGAACATGCCATGGCTTAAAAGCATGGGTTGCAATTTGTTTGACAAATTAAAAGCATTTTAATTATTTACAACATTTTCAGACATCATAGCTTCAAGTTGGATAAACCGATGGAGCTTACACACCTTAAAAAAAAAAAAAAAAAATTAATCGATCATCCAGCTGGATAACAACAAGGTTAAATCATGTCATCTGGACCAGTTTCTTTTATGGGAGAAACGTTTTGTCTTCCATCCGGAAGTCTTCCTCAGTCTGCGGCCTGCCAACCAGGTCTGTCCCAAAGGTAGCCTTCATTTCAAATTTGAAACCCAGCAATGAAGGCTACTTATAGGACAGATCTGGTTGACAGGCCACAGACTTCAGGATGAAGACGAAACGTTTCTCCCTTAAAAACTGTATTAAATGCCACAAAGTTTGTTTTCTCAGTCATCCAGGTATATAACAACAAAAAAGGTTGAATCATGTCATCTGGACTTCGTTTTTTGTTAAAAAGAAACGTTTCGCCCCTCATCG